GAACCATTACCAAAATAGATGTAACATTGTTATCCAGGTGCTTGGAGCAGCACATTTTTAGGTTAAAATGCCTTTTTTTTTTTTTAATTGAATAGAAAAAAAACAACAGGGAAGGTTTTTCAAGGGCAGCATCTCTGTAGACTCTAACATGGATCAAAGACTTTGTGGGGTTGGGTGATCATAGCCAGCAACAATGAACCAAGTTACTCAATGGGAGGGCTTGGAAATGAGAGAAGTTTTCCTCCAGCAAATAAGTTATTTAGAATAATGTTGATTTGTTTTTCAAAATATAAACTAGAATTACTTAGTGAAATCAAGGTTATCATCCCTATGTGTCAAGACAGCTTTATTGAAACAGAATGTTTGTGAAGAATACCTAATCCATCGCAAACAATTTCTGAATACTTAAGTCGAAAATAGATTTTTTTKTGTGTGTGAAAACATAAAGGACCACTGTGTTTTCCATCCATTCACAGTGAACTTTTTAGAAAAATGTCATTGTGTTTCTGGTAGCTTTGGGAAGATTCCTTTACTCAATGTAGTCATTTATYCATTTTTCACTCCATAGTTCAAGCCTTTTCCTCTGTGTGAAGAAGTTACTGACTTTCCTAAGCATATTCTGTGTGTTTGTGAGAATGCATGTGTGCATCCATACATTCCAGCCCTGCGTCCAAAACCATGTCCAAAACTACACACATTCGTTGCTATGTCTTATGTCATCTTTGTGGACTATGCCAAGGGTACAGAATTCCAGGCTTGTTGGTTAGCAATGAAGATTCAGCAAAGAATAAGGCAGAACTCCTTCATCAAGAATTTGTCTTAAGGCACTATTAAAAATTTCTCTGCCTTTACATTTCTCTTTTTCATCACAGGATTATGGAATACAGTAGCCAGAAAGGAAGTGAGAATACTTTTTTGTGTGTCAGCTGAAACTCTTATGTGGCAATTTGACAATTTCCCTTCTGGTGTTTATTGTTTGTTTTTGTACTGGGGATTGAACCCAGGGGGGTTTTACTACTAAGCTTTATTGCCAGCCCTTTTTAGTTTTATTTTTTTTTTTTATTTTGAGGCAGAAATTTACTAAATTGCTGAGGGTCTCACTAAGATACCGAGGCTGGCCTCAAACTTGAAATTCTCCCATTTCAGCCTCCCAAATTACTGGGATTACAGGTATCTACCCGTTCCCTTCTGTTTCTTGAAGACATTAAAAAATCCACACAATGATTCAAAGTTACTTTTAGATTTAGGTACTATCATGGAATCACTTCTACATATTTCTTCAGTGTGGCTCCATTTTTTTTTTAAACCAAGTGTTGAACCCAAGAATTTTTAACCACTGAGCTACATCCCTAGCCCTTTTTTCTTTAATTTTGAAAAAGGACTTCACCAAGTTGCTAAGGACCTTGCTGAGTTGCTAAGGCTGGCTTTGAACTTGCAATCCTCCTGCCTCAGCCTTTCAAGTTGCTGTGATTATAGGCAAGAGCCACTATACCCAGGAAATGTGCTTCCAATTCTGAGAGCACTTATTTTGTCAATAGTAACAAGTATTAGAAAACCATAAAAATTATATATCTCTTTTAATACATTCATCTATGTTTTCAAATCTCATTTCTGTTTTGTTCTTACCCTGTTCATATCAGGATGTATTTTTATTTCCCTTAAAATCTCTTACAATTTTTTTCTTTTTTTACTTTACTCTCTAGAGGGTTTGCATATTTTTGATAATCTCTCCCTCTTTTTCCACATTGTTTTTGTCTAAGCTACTTTCAGGATTTCCAGGAAATTGGATTTCCCTCTACCTTTTTTGATCATTTGTGCCATGGTTTTCTGAGCATTCTTAATATTGTTTTCTAAAGGGATGTCCAAAGCTCTTGGTCCYGTGGCTCTTACTATATTACAGCACCATGATAAATGGTGATAATAATGACTTTGACATAACAAGAAAATACCAAGTTATTATAACTATATGCTTCTACGTATATGTTAMTTCTTGATGGGAGATTTTAATACAGAATGAGAAATGGTCCTTGTTCTCCAGCATCTCTCCATCTAGTAGACAATGTGTGTGTGAAAAGGTCTAACAAAATATGGCCTATCTCTATGGGATGAGAGCACCTTGGTATGAGAACCAAGAAATCATTTTCTGCTAGGATGGTCTGAGAAGTTTTCATAAAAGATCTCACTGGAATTGGAGTTGAACATGGAGCCTTAGAAATAATTTTAAGAAGATAAAAGAGGCAGAGAGACATCATTCTCAGAGGGATGTCTGAAGGACACATAGCAAAAAAATTAAAAAAATAAAAAGCGAATAAATCAAACTGGCTGCACCCGAAAGTTCATCTAAGGTAATAATTGTAATATTGCTATAAAAGTAGATGAGAGTTGGATTGGAAGAGAACTTTGTTTGATAGTCTAATGTTTTATATTTAATTCAGGAGGGCATAGGAATCTATTGATCTTTCTTTTTCTACTTTTTTTTTTTTTTGGTGTAGGGTCTTGCTGTGTTGTCCAGATTGACCTTGAACTCCCTATTCTCCTGCCTCAGTCTCCCAAGAAGTGATTTGAAATAATAATAATTATGATGATGATTATTATCATTACTATTATTATTATTGCAGTGGTAGAGAATGAGCCAAAGGCTTTGCACATRCTAGACAAGTGCTCTACCACTGAGCTATACCCGGAGTCCCATATTGATTTTTTGTTAAATTGGGGCAGTGATATGATGAAAAAGTCATAGTGAGAGGAACTAGATAACAGTGTGCAGCAYGGTCAGAGTGGGACAGAATGGAGAAGGTAGCTGTCCTGGTTCAGGGATGAGATCACTCATGCTTGATTTATATTTCTGTCAGAAGTGCCTTGATGTGAAGGATGGAGATATAATTTGTAAGGAGGTAGAGGTACYAGTTTGGAAAGAAAGTTGATTGTGTTTATTTGTTGTAGAAGGTCATCTAGGAGAACTTTCCAGCTTGTGTAAGAACTTTCCAGTGCTCATGCCTCCAAATGGGAAAGTGGACAAAGTATTACTTTATACCACTGTTTTAGGCACAAAAGAAAAATAATTGCTGTTTAGCAAACAGGTTTTCTTCTTTCTGGTCCTTCTAAGCAGTCATTGTTCAGTCTTTCCTAAGACAGCAAAGGCCCAGTTTTCTTTTTAAATAAATATAGAGAATGTCATAAAGAATGAAAGGATCTGCTGGTGGTACACTAATTAACCCTTAGAAAATTACTAGCAAGAGTCTTTTGATGCAAAATAAATTTTCAGGAATGGTTTAAGGATCTCTGCAGTGAAGAGTGGTTCATCTGATGTTCAGATTCAAAATCCTTTTATTTTCAGGCATGACCTAGCAAGTGTGGTTCCTTTGACTTATTCTTAGATTTCAGTGAGTGCAACATTATTAATATTTTGGAGAAAGGTGATAGTCAACGTTTCTGTCTATGGATTAACATCAGTTTTATTATTTAACCTCATGTTAAAAGCATTGTTTTTATTATTATGTGTTCTAAATTAGTATGCTAATTTAGTCAGTTTTGATAGGCTTATCTCCAGTTATAATGTACAGTCTTTTTTTTTTAAGTCATGCATACTTAACCAATTTTCACTAGTTATAAGTGGTTAGGTATTACTTCCTGTTGAATTAGCAGTTGCTGAGTAGTTGAGTCTGTACAATCCTGCAATCCACTAATGTGATATTTAATGAGGAGCCATCAGTCTGGAGAAAGGTAGTCAATATAAATCAGTGTTTACAAAGTGTGATTAACTCTGAAATATTTCATCAATGCTGTGGTCCCAGGCAGACTCTATGCTAATTACTAGAAACTGCGCATGTTTCAGGGGACTTGGAGGGACCCTGAGTATTGCAAACACGGAGCAGCAAAATTGCAATTATGCTCGGACCGTCTCTGATGACAATTTATGCATTTGGTGTGATGACCTCCCCCTTCCCAAGAGGGCAATAAACAGAATGCATTTTCATTAAGATACTAATGCACTTAATCACAAGGGGAAAGGKTTAGGAAGTAGCGAAAGACCTTCAAGCACTATGTGACAGACCTGATAGGGCAGAGAAGCTTTATTTTAAAGGCAGTTTCTTTACAAAGCTGTGGGCAGCCCAGAGCACCTCTCATATACTGGCATTGTCTCAGACTAGGAAATATTTGAAGTTTGGATCTTCTTCTGGTTGCATAGTTATCATTTGAAATGTGTAGGCACTGCTGCAAGTCATGTAAAGTCTAATATTAAGAATATAACTTCATAGTGGTTTATTCTTAATTATTACATTCTCAAGGAGCTTAAGCATTTGAAATTAATTAAGCAATTTATGTAACAAACCTGATGATGATGTTCAGTGATGATGACCACCATAATCATCATCATCATCATCATCATCATCATCATCACTAAACATTTACTGAGCAAAGAATTTATTTTATGGCTCTGGTAGCTAGTAAGTCTTGCAGGTAGAACTATGTAATCCCTGTCCCTTGCTTATAGGAGCTTGCCATATAGCTCCGCATTAACCTCCTGATCATTTTGCACTGGGAAGTTTATGTTGTTCAGTGTCAGGAAAACAATCGGTGTGATGCATCAAAGTGCTAGTCACCTTTGTATCCAAAGGTTCTAAATCAGTGTGCTTTGYTCAGGTGGACTTTGCCTAGTGATCTTCTCCTGAGTCCACCCATGCCAAGTAATAGTCTTCCAGAAAGTTAGGATCCAAAAGAAATTTCAAAGAAGAGTATTATCATAAAATACTGATTTTACACTTAAGTTTTTGAAGAGCTCCATCATATGCCCCCTAGTTGTGCAATGCATCCTCATTGGTAGTAGCACAGTATCCAGATTTCATGACATTTCTCATGTTCCCAACAAGATGAAACTCCTGTGACTCTGGGGGGGAGGAGGGAGCAGGAGTGACAGAGTTGACATGTTCTTGGGGATGCTAATATCTCCAGGGTCTTGCAAGTCTAACAGCTTCTTTTCTTCCAACTTTGTGTTTTAGGTAATATAGAATATAGCTGCCCTGCCACGAACGAATGTGAAATCACAAAGCGCAGACGTAAATCCTGCCAGGCTTGCCGCTTCATGAAGTGTCTAAAAGTGGGCATGCTGAAAGAAGGTAAGGCACTTGTCTAGTGTCCCTGTGCTTTAGGTTTGGGGGATGGGATTTGGAGATACAGGGAATCCCACTAATTTTAGAAAAACAAGAAAAGATGAGGTAGCAGTACCCAATACGCCTTCTTGGCCCCTGAACTTTCTGATACGTCATTGCTAACCGCTTGACATTACCAGAAAGACAAGGTAGGACACATCTGATTTGCAGTTGAACACACAAGGTATGTTTCACAGACCTGGTCTTGTCTGCTTTACAGTTTGCRGAAGGAAAGAGATGAAGACAAACAAGCGACTGATGTCTTTTTGCTTTTTTTGTCATCAACAGGTTCATAGATTTTGTAAGATTCGTTCTAATTAATTACACATGATAGTAGAAGGCATTTTGACATATTATACATAAATGGAGTATAACTTTTCATTCTTCTGATTCTGCATGATGTAGAGTTACACTGGTCATGTAATCATATATTCACATAGGATAATAATGTCCAATTCATTCTACTATCCTTCCTACCCTCATACTCTCCTCTTTTCAGTCCCCTTTGTCTGGTCCAAAGTACCTCTGTTCTCCCACACCCGACCCCTCTTTGTGAATTAGCATCCACATATCAGAGAAAACCTTCAGCCTTTGGTTCTTTTGATATTGGCTTATTTTGCTTAGCATAATATTCTCTAATTTCATCAACTTACTGGCAAATGCCATGATTTCATTCTTCTTTAAGGCTGAATAATATTCCATTGTGTATGTTTAATACAATTTTTTAAATCCATTCATCTGTCAAGGGAACCTAGCTTGGTTCCATAGTTTAGCTATGGTTCACATATTTTCTAAAAAATTAATCTTGGGTTTAAAATACTCTTTCTTTTTTTCCAACCTATTTTCTACTAAAAAGGGTTTATGATATGATATTAAAATGGCTTTCCATTTGTTTTCAGTCAGAGATAACAACAGACACAAAATATGAACAGTGAATATGTATCCCATATTAAACAATTTGCCTAAGCTTACCCAGTTACTAACAGGTGGTGCCAGGAACTGAACCAATGGATTGCTGGATGCCTCTCACCTATTCCACATGTCAAAGGACCTGAAATATTTGTATATTTCAGCATGTTTATCAAGACTGACATTTCGGCTTGGAGAGAGAGAAAAAAATTGTTTTTTTTTTTCTTTAAAAGACCTACTTATTAGTCTTTTATTTTTTTTAATGTGTCTCTGTGTGCTTTGGAGATATGCATTTTACACATTGCATTTAGACCTTTCTGTTTCCTCCTCTTCAGAAAATTTACCAGAGTTTAAGATAAATATGATAATTTGTAAGTAACAAAGAGAAAATGTGGTAACGTTTGGAAAAAAATTAGGTTAATTAAATATTTAAAGTGTAGATACTATTACATCATAAATATGCTTTGTTCCTGCAATTTATCTTATTAGTTTGTATATTTTGTTGTCACTGGATTACCTCATTTTTTTAAATACCTTTAAGTCCACATAGGCCCAAGTGTTAGTTGACCTTGAGCTTTGGGTGTGTTATTACTAGATCTCATAATTTTATCCAGTTTCGTTCAGTTCCAATTAATGTGTGCTATGACATACAAGGATTAGTGGATTAGATTATATTCCAGTACATGGAATTTATACCATATCTGTCTGCCTCTTATTTGTCTACTAGGAACAATGAAGACTCTCTTGAATTCTTCTTCAGTTTTGCTTACCTCTTGAAAAAAGAGCTATAAACAAACATATAACTTTATAATTAAAGCATCCTGAAAGGTGTTCAACATCCATTATCAAGCAAAAGATAAAGTAAAATGCAAACTGTCTCACGGATGACTCAGTTTATATGTATGTCTATAGGGGTGGGGGAGAGGGACATGGAAAGCAGAAAGATTGGAGAAGGTACTACACTGTGTTGGTATAGGCACGGAGAAGTAAAAAGAGGGAAACATGAAGACTGGTGTGAAGGTTACACTGGTGAATAAATATGAGGAGGGGATCCTTTGGCACTGTTAGAATTTTTCACAGTTAACATGATTTGCATTTATCTTCTGTTTGCTAAATATTATTAAGATCCTCCCATGTGCCAGAGGCTACTGTAGGTGCCAGTGATATAAAAATGAGGAGACTGACTCCGATACTCTCACTAGTGAGAATTTATATGAAAATAACCAAAGGACCATTATTGACAAAGGCACACACATACCTAAAACTCAACAACAATCTAACCCATAAGACAAAAAAAGTTTCCTTTTAGTTACAATGATGGTAATTGCTTACTGTGGTTGAGGTAGAAAACTTAATTAGCTCCTGCCTTAAACAGCATCTCAGAGTGAGGAGCAAAGAGCAATTCAGAATGTAGAGTTGACCCCAGCCTCACACAAAACAAAATCTAATTCAGAATATAATAATAAGTGATAGGCATTTTGGGTCTTCATTATATTTATATTGCTACTTTGTTAGGCAGTAGACAGATGTTAGAGATTTAGGCTAGACTTATTCTTAAGAAAYGTTTATTTAAGAGCCATTTCAAACTCTTGAAAGTTGAGGGATGATTTTTTTTAAAAAAGCAAATCAATTGTTTTAAATGTTATAAAAGAAATCTGTCAATATATATATACTACATGAAGGTGTCCTAGATTTGGAATCCCCCCCCCAAAAAAACTAAAGTACATGGAAACTCCTCTTTATTTCTAGGAAGATAGAGTTTTTTGATTAATTTTATCTTACCACTGTAATTTACTCACCTGATTGTCCTTCTAAGTCTAAACAGAGGAATAAAAAAATATTTTCCCTTAAACAATCTTTCCAGTTGTAGCTTTTAAGAGGAGCACTCCTGAAAGGTGGCAAGAGTGAATGGAGAGGTGTGAACTATGTTTAATTAAACATTGTTGGTGAAAGTAAACGGGGCTCTGCTTATCTATAATTCACACCTCTTCAGTTGCTGTTATCAAGCCTTTAGAGGATCTGTTTTCAAGGGAATTGCTGCTATTTCTGATATGCTCAAATAATAATTCATTTTCCTTTACTTYTTTCTGCCCACTTGGTTAGCAAAATCTCAGTTCTCTAAGCCTCACTTCCTCCTCCTCCAAACAGAAAGGTTGGGGTAGTTATGAGTAAATATGGTATATTCTTTTCTCTTTTGTACTTAAAAAATGCAGTGAAATATTGCTTTACACCCTGCATATAAATGCACAATTATGTTTGGCCATCTCCTTGGCCCAAGACTTGCTTTCTAAGCCTGGAGAGAATGATACCATCTTAAACGTATCTTTATGGATGTAGAGGGATTTCAGTCCCACGCAGTATGTCAGAGATCATGATGTAGTAAATCTATTCAAATGTAAACCTGTTCAATTCAATTACCAGTCCATAATAAAATTTGCTGCTACAACCCCCRTGTTGACCACAGCAGTCCATACAGGCTGATGGCACAGCGGGTCTGGAAATTGACAGACAAAATCTATTTAAACAAAAAAAAAAGCATTAGTTCTAGAATCTGAAATGAAATCAGATTTCAACAGCTTTGATGGGAACCTTCTTTCCTTTCACAGGTATTTTTATTCAACTCGCCAAATGCATCCTAGATAAAGGGCTGCTTGGGGGAAATGAAATTTTCATTAAAAAGGTGGTTTATAGAAAGCTGAGACCTTTCCCATTTTACAAATAATAATTCTTAGTTATATTGAGTGGCATTTCTCCTAATTGAGGCATATCCTTTTGAGAAGCTGAGTGCAGTTTGGAGCGTGAAAGGGAAGTGATGACTTAGTGGGCAAATTCCAGTTGTATCTCCAAGTGCAGAATTAAATTCTTATTAGTTACGCCTTTTCATTTGCCAGCACCAGAATTAATATCTGAATGAATGAATGATATTTGATTTTAATGTTAGCATTTTTAACTTGTGCTTGTGTGTATGTGTGTGTGTGTGTGTGTGTGTGTGTGTGTGTGTGTGTGCATCTGTGCATGCGCTACTGAGAATCAAACCAAGGACCTCCCACATGGTAGGCAAGCGCTCAATCAAAAATTTATTACCTGTTAAAGCAAAATCAAAATAAACAAACAAAACTCCTCAGAAAACCAAACTAACCAAACAAAATCTCTCAATGGATGGTCCTGTTGAAGAAAACAACATAATGTCACACCATCACAAAACTTTCAGAAGTGCTGTTAGCAAACAATAATTCATTCAAGTCCAAGTAGTGGGACCATTCAGCATCCTGAAACATGCCCTCATCTTTCTCCCTGCTCTACTTTGCTGGTAAACGTCACGAATGATGGGCCGGCATTATTTTTTCAGCATTATACCATACTGTATGTCAGAGAAAACCCATCTATTACTTGATATCTGGTCTCAACATTCCCTTTTCATTTTTTTTCAGGTATTGCTTATTTGAAGGAAAAAACAAGAACTAATCAAGGTGTACCTATAAATCTGGTCAAGATTTATTTTTATTTTGATCTCTCTCCTTGGTTATTTAAAGGCTACTATAGRACATACTGGTTCAGTTTTCTCTTTGTCAGTAGCAAACAGGGACATTTTATGAAAGCAATAATTATTTTATGTAGGTATAGAATTCACTGATCAGAGAACTGAAGGACATTTTGATATTTATTGGCACAGTGGGTTTCACTTTGGAAACTCAAGTGTTTTTCTCCTAAACTATTGCAGGTGAGCAAAAGAATTACATTTAAGCATAACAYTGTCTGTTCCCTAGCCCGGTCAGCTTCCATGAAAAATGTAGATGAATCAGGCTACAGAAAGGACCAATTTAATTATTTTGTGCCAAAAAAGTGTGGCATTTACTTGCCTTTAATTTTTTTTAAGTTCAAAACCACGGATTGAACCCAGGACCTTGCCAAAGGGAGGCAAGCACTGTTCCCTGAGCTATATCACCAGYCCTCTACTTGTCTAAGAAACTGCTACTTGACTTTTCTGATCTTCATTTTTCACCATCTATAATATGATGATATCAATAATAGTATTTACAAATGAAGTGTTGTGAATA